CCCCGTGCGGAAACGGTGGATGGGGTAGGGCGGTTTGGGAACGCCGGACCCCCGACCGTGCACGGGTGTCGGAGGTCCGACGTTTCCAATCCGCCAGACCCCCGAACGGAAAGGGTGGAGGGGGTAGGGCGGTTTGGGAACGCCGGACCCCTGACAGTGCACGGGTGTCGGAGGTCCGGCATTTCCAATCCGCCGGACCCCCGTGCGGAAAGGGTGGAGGGGTAGGGCGGTTTGGGAACGCCGGACCCCCGACCGTGCACGGGTGTTGGAGGTCCGGCGTTTCCAATCCGCCGGACCCCCGTACAGAAAGGGTGGAGGGGGTAGGGCGGTTTGGGAACGCCGGACCCACGACCGTGCACGGGTGTCGGAGGTCCGGCGTTTCCAATCCGCCGGACCCCCGTGCGGAAACGGTGGAGGGGGTAGGGCACAACAAAATGATCGCCCCATCATTCATGGCATCTCCACATCATGCCCTCTTCCGAAATCGAAGTCATCGAAAAACACAAAAAAAAAAACGAAGAACAAAAGAGAAAAAACAGCAAATCCCCTTSGTCGACGTTCTGGGCCACAACCACTGATCTGCCCTTGGTTCGCTGTTCCACAACCGAAAACGAAAACAAAAAAGAAAACGAAAACAAACCGGAAAAAAAAAAAAACACTTCGTGGGTGCCATGACCACTGATCCTACATGGCAACCACTGGTCTTTGATCCTGCATGGCAAGCACTGGTGTTTGATCCTACATGGCAACCACTGATCTTTGATCGTACATGGCATCGCCCCCCATCATTCCGTTTTTGCTATCGAACTTTTTCGAAAAAGAAAACAAAAACAAACCAAAAAAAACAGAAAAACAGCGAATCCCCATTGCACTTTGTGGGGGAGAGGAGATCAGCCCTCTGTTCGATTTTCCACAACCACTGACCCTACATGGCAACCACTGATCTTTGATCGTACATGGCATCGCCCCCATCATTCCGTTTTTGCTTTCGAACTTTTTCGAAAAAGAAAGCCAAAAAAAAACCAAAAAAAAAATAAAGAAAAACAGCAAATCCCCATCGCACTTTGTGGGGGAGAGGAGATCAGCCCTCTGTTCGGTGTTCCACAACCACTGATCCTACATGGCAACCACTGATCTTTGATCCTACATGGCATCGCCCCATAATTCCGTTTTTGCAGTCGAACTTTTTCGAAAACGAAAAACACAAAAAAAACAAAAAAAGAAAAGAAAACAGCGAATCCCCATCGCACTTTGTGGGGGAGAGGAGATCGGCCCTCCGTTCGCTGTTCCACAACCACTGATCTTTCATCGTACATGGCATCGCCCCATCAATCCGTTTTTGCAAGCGAACTTTTCCGATAAAGAAAAAAAAAAAAAAAAAAAAAAAAAAAAATAAAGAAAAACAGCAAATCCCCATCGCACTTTGTGGGGGAGAGGAGATCAGCCCTCCGTTCGCTGTTCCACAACCACTGATCCTACATGGCAACTGCTGATCTTTGATCCTACATGGCATCGCCCCATCATTCCGTTTTTGCAGTCGAACTTTTTCGAAAACGAAAAAAAAAGAAAAAGAAAAAAGAAAAGAAAACAGCGAATCCCCATCGCACTTTGTGGGGGAGAGGAGATCGGCCCTCGGTTCGCTGTTCCACAATCACTGATCTTTCATCGTAGATGGCATCGCCCCATCAAACCGTTTTTGCGAACGAGCTTTTCCGAAAAAAATAAAAAAAAAAATAAAAAAAAATAAATAAAGAAAAAGAGCAAATCCCCATCGCACTTTGTGGGGGAGAGGAGATCAGCCCTCCGTTCGCTGTTCCACAACCACTGATCCTACATGGCAACCGCTGATCTTTGATCCTACATGGCATCGCCCCATCATTCCGTTTTTGCAGTCGAACTTTTTCGAAAA